GAAAGAGCTCCTTGCTGAGATCTGATCTCTGCAGTAATGGGGGAATGCAGATGGAGGCAGACCAGGTTTACAGCAGCTGAGGTGAGGCCTGCAGCATCTTTTATCTTCACAGCTTGTCAGCCAGAATAATTTACCTAAAAATAGCTGCCTGGAGTTGAGCTTTGAATGTAAAATCCTTTTGCCCCGAATACAGAGAATCTCAGCAACTTCACCAAACGTTGATTTTCAACCAGAGCAGGGCAGCTACATGCTTAATCTCCTGAAACAGCTGCAGTACCTTGCAGAGAGAGTTGGGAATTTGTTGTTGTGCTTCCTTCCTTATGGGAGGTTTGGATCTGAGTATGTGGAACTGACACATAATGACCTTGTTCATTTTCTGTGATTATTTTCCTTAGTGTTCCCTGTCAGTATCTGTTTGTTCTCTCTTGCCAAATGCTTTACCCTATGAACTCTTTAGACAGGACTCTGTATGTTTGTCCTTTGTGTCACATGGTAGAATCCCAGTCTATGATTGAGGTAACAGAGAATTATCATAGTACAAATATTCTGTTTTCAAGGAAAAAGCAATGGTGCTCTGTGCAAAATAATTAAATAAGGTTCTTGAAAAGTTCCTTTTCTACTAACATGTTGGCTAATATATACACATGGTACCTTTCAACTAGAGGAGAAAGTCTGTGTACTCAAATTCTGCCATACTCTGTTTCCCCATTATATCCAATAGAAACAAGCAGTGACAAGATATGACACATCCACAGTTCCAGATATTTCCCGAAGAACTTCTCCAAAGAGAAAAATCACTGTTGGGCAAAACAAAAAATGATGTGATGAGTTGAGTGAAATTACTAAGGCCACTTGTCCTGTCCTGAGTCCTTACTGGAATATCACGACTGGGGAAGTCAATGAGCTTCTCTTCACATACAGCAAATGTCTGGAGGCCTTTCTGCCAACCACACACCTACAGCATATAGAAACTTGGTATCAGCCATAGGATAGGCCAAATGCTTCCTAACTGAGAACATTCTGAGTGTAAGCACCTGCTCAGAACAAGCTGACATGTATGGCAGAGGGACCTAATTGCAGTTAACTTGGCTTTTAAATCATGCTGTCAAAATTCAAGACATGTTTCAAAAACAACCACTGCTGACCCCAAAGACCATTCAGGAGGCATTCTGCTGCCCTCCATCAGACCTAGGGAGGTACCAAGGCAACAGCTCAGAGTTTGACGGGGACAAAATCCTCCCTCGTACCTAGGGGGAAAGGAAAAAGGGTGTCATAGGAAGAACTGAATTGTTGCTGGACAGCAGATTTCCTGAACCAGGACTTTAGTCAGTTCTGCTGGGAGGAGCTGTTCTCCAGAGAAGCAGGTTCAAGTTGCTGTGTGTTCCTTTCTGATAAAAATCTTCTGCAGTCTGAAGTAGGCAAGACTGCAGTTGCTTCAAGAGTGTCCTTGTCCTCCTTTGCTTTGTGTTAGTGAGCATGCTCTGGAGACCAAAGCAAATCACAGAAGTTGGTCCTTAGAAAGTGATCAGAACTGCCTGTATGTGTATACATATACACACAGAAGAGGTCATCAGGTGATGGCTGAAAGGCTGGAGACAAAGGAAAACACTGAAAAAATGTGTCTTTAGAGGCCATTGCAGACACCCTTGATCATTTCTCTGTCTATCCAGCTGTGAACAGGCACTTTGATCTACTTGGAAACCTGATCCTTGTCCTCAAGAACCTTCATCACAAATTCTGTGTGGGACTCAGCAAGTCCAAGCAGCAAATGTTTGTGCAGAAGAAAGGTAGAAAGAGAATTGTGATATTATGGGGTAGCACACTCTGGAAGCTCTGACAGCATAAGTACA